CCCCCCTATAACTCACTCTCTTTCGGTCTGTTTCTCGTTATCACTGTCGTTATCATGCAAACTGTTTTATTAATATTCTTAATAATTCTTATTATTAAACTAAATCATTCACTAGAGGCTTCTCACTGGACGCCTGTCTATCGAATAACCTACATGTATGTTATCTTTCAAGGACATCTAGCTCTGTTTTTCAATAAGCCGATGCCCAATCTTCAAGGAAACATGGTCAGAAGTGATAATAAATGACCAGCGCCAGGAGACGCCCACAAACTGGCCATGATGACCTTGAAATGATTATTTTGGCTCCGTCTTTAGTCATCCCCTGTTGAGAACTACCTGTAGGACGGTCACGCATAGGAGGCGCTTGTTGTCATTATCTGTCGGCGTCGTGCTACCCACCTGTCAATCACCGGCCACGGAGCCGTCTGATTGGCTGGCGTGACTACACTTGTACGTTTGGGTATTTAAGTCCCGGTGACAGGACAGTAAACCGCTTGGTACAAGTGGAACGAATAAAGACTGCAGCCTGCACCGAAGCTATCGAAGGAAGACCGACTTATCAGCAAAGGTGAGTGCACCTCCCGTTTACTTGTGTTTTCTAACGCTGACTTTATTAAGAGAAAGTGATCTCGGTCCAGTTTTAGCTCACTGTACAGGAGAGGAGACATGCAGACGCTATTTCGCTATTTTATGGACCACCTCGAACATTCTCCATTCGGAGTGCATGTCGGGTGAGCGACAGTCGGGATTCGAACTCCCAACCTCTTGTCCTGAGGCAGGGTCGCTAACCACTGGACTACGCACGCTATACATAACAGACATGATCTTTGCAACACTATCCACAGCACGGGTCGAACTGAGCATCTGCTTTCCCGTTTGTGGAACTCGGGCAGGATGTTTATATCTTTTATGACCACTTTTATTGCCACTTTTATAGCCTTTCAGGAATTGAATATGAAATATTGACAAGACAAGACAAAGATACACCCCAACGTTTGCACAGACATTATACCCCAAACCCGGCGATATATCCTACAATTTACGGATATGTGCGTTTGGTATTTTGTCAACATTTGAGTTGTTTTCACGGATTAACACACAAAGGCAGAGTACTCAGTCCGTCTATCTGCATAACCCTACCGGGACACGCGATGCTCAGTATGTGTCTAAAAGGGACACCAGTGGGCTGAAGTTCTCAGAATTTCAACAATAGGCTGTGGTTCAACTAAAGGACAAACGGCACCTTTGTCGTGACGTGGATTTTCATTCTACATTCCTAGGTATTGTGTACTGTATACATGTGTACTTCGTACCACAAAAACTTGGCAAACTTTGAAATCAATCTGTCTTTTCCATCTTTTCTATTTTTAATGACCCTTACTGCATGCAAACAATCATACAAGTAAACATACTATGTACAGTCTTTAGATTAAAAGCAAAAAAAGTTGATGCTGTTCACATCAGAAGTTGACACGCCAGTCAGTTGATTTTTACGCACTTCTCACGGATATAAGTAAGTAAAGCCGGAGTAATTTGGTTTTGTAGATGACGGAGTTTGCCAAGAATTGCCTGGCCGTTCACAACGAGCTTCGCGCCAAGCACGGCGCCCCCGCCCTGAAGCTGAGCGACAAGCTGACGGAGCACGCTCAGAAGTGGGCGGACCACCTGGCGAAGATCGGCAAGCTGGAGCACAGCGAGGGGAGCGGGTACGGGGAGAACGTCGCCATGCAGTGGGGCGACGATGTGCCAGGTAAAGCTAGAGCCCGGCCCTGTCATACATAACCGAACATAGCCGCCCGAACACTAGCCGAACTCCCCCCAACCATGGTTAGGAGTAGGTCGGGAGCTGGTCTTAGGCTGCGCCACCTACGTTAAAAACATTCGGGTGTTGACGGGAGGTTCGGCCATGGTTGGCTGGTGTTTGGAAATTGGTTGGGGCGTGGTCGACAGTGAAATTTGACTCAAATTTAACTAAAATTCGATTCCATTCGTATGAAAAGGAATCTGACCAGACTGCTCCGTAACTTCAACCAAACTTGGTCGGCTGTTGTTTGGGGGAAGGTTATATCAACTTATTTTATGCCGCCACCAACGAAGAGTACAAATACAGGACTGGACCATACTCATTCTCACTGAATTAAGTGAGGAAAGTCGTGTAAAGTGCCTTTCCCAAGGGCACAAGATCGGAGGCATGCCAGGACCCGAACCCGCGACCTCTTGGTTCCGTTCGGGTCGAGCACTCTGTTGTTACGCCACATGACCCTACTCTCCAAGCAGAGCTTTAGGTTTGGGGATATTTTTGGCGCGTTTTTAGGCTTTTTTTATCGGGGTTTCTCTTTTGCACTGAATTTTTTTCCCACCAAACCCAACTCCAAGCAGAGGTTTGGGTTTTGGGTCATTTTTGGCGTGTTTTTAGGATCTTTTAAATCGGGGTTTCTCTTTTGCACTGAATTTTTCTTCCCACCAAACCCAACTTCAAGCAGAGGTTTGGGGTTATTTTTGGCGTGTTTTAGGCTTTTTTTATCGGGGTTTCTCTTTTGCACTGAATTTTTTTTGGTTTGGTGGGGAAAAAAATTCAGTGCAAAAAGAGAAACCCTGATAAAAAAGCCTAAAAACACGCCAAAAATAACCCCAAACCCAAACCTCTGCTTGGAGAGTAACCCGACCCCGCTGAAGGTTCTATCTCTCTCCCTCCACAGCCCGGTCCTTCGTGCAGCAGTGGTACAGCGAGGTGGAGAGGTACGACTTCGGAGACAAGGGCGGCAACTACCAGCCCAGCGCAGGTCTCAGATCTTTCCTTCTTTCTAATATACAGAGTATCTACATACGTTTCCCAGTTTTCGACATTTTAATAGATAGAACAGAAAAACTCGTATTCCCTATGGAAATAGACAAACTATGTATTATAAGCCGCCATATGTTCATACATCTGCAAGTTCATATTACAACATATGGACCCCGCATATGGATCAAATCTAAGGTCTGGTAGGAAGTTAGATAAGGTAATGTCTGAGATTTGGATATTAAGATGTAATCCTCCAGACTAAGGGGCAACACATTTTCTTAAGATGGCTGGAGACGTAAATCTTTGTGGTAATGAAGTTATTCATAACGTCTCATATTGTTTGTGACTAACAGTCAATATTTGCCTGTCCATGCATTGAATTTAGCAATAAGTTTACTACTGAAGATCAGCTGGTAATAATGTGTAGTTAAGAATGATAAAAATATTTTTGAAGTTTGATTTTATATACCCTTGAAAGCCATGAAATGTAGCAACTTCAAGTTCAATGACAGCTCTATTGCTTAAGGTTCCGACACCCCCTTACCCTAACTCACCCCTATGTTCAGACATCTTTACATTTGCCTTAAGCGAAGCGAGAAGAGAAGTCTTCACAATTTCTTCTTTTCCTGAATTGATTTCGGCATTCTATGGCATTAGTATCGTTTTCCAACACTACATATATTTGCTCATTTTGTACGATTTACAGTATGATCGAGGCCTTTTTTTTTTGGAAACGGACGAAAATTCATGAGCGCTTGGTCCTTGGATGTCATTCGTGTAATAAAATCAACATTAGTTTTTAAAGTTGTAATAAGATATCATGTAATTTTACTCCTGCTTTTGACCTATAGCTTGTTATAGCATAAACGTAGAATAAGGGTCTTTCATGAACATATATCAATCATCGCTGAATATCAGTAACATCCCCGTTTCCACACTCTGTTCCCACTACAGGTCACTTCTCGCAGGTTGTGTGGAAGGGGAGTAAGGAGCTGGGTGTGGGCACGGCTAAGAGCGACAAGGGCATGGCTGTGACGGTGTGTAACTACAGCCCGCCCGGCAACATGCAGGGGGCCTTCGGCTCCAACGTGCAGTCCGAGAACTAGACGAAACAACTCCAGAAACGCCGCCAACAACTGCAGTAGTCTCCATCAGACTCCTTGGGATCTCTTACATAGCAAGTAGCCTCCCTAACAGCCATCGACTAGCGTTTCGACTAGCGTTAACAGTCTTCCACTGTAGTACAAAGGGATCAAATTTTCAACTACCAATGTCGTCTTCCTCAGGACCAATCACTTACGAACGTAAACTAGCGTCTCTCAAAGTTTGACATTGCCACTTTTGTAAACGTAAGTTTAAGCTAGGCTAGCCTCCCGTCTGTTTTACAACAAATTCTCTACTATACAATTACATGCGGTACCCGTAACGGTATTGTGTGTATTTCTAGACAAAGTTGACTATCCCACAGAGTCTGATGGAGACTAACTTTGGTAGGCGCGGTAACTGTAACGCTAAAATGCAAGGCTGAACGAAAGCACCGCATCAAAATGTACTCAAACTGTTTTACTGTCGCCTTACACGACAAAAAATACCCCTTGTGTGATGTGGGGTCACACTGGTATTATCTCCAAGCAGAACTGAATCCGACTCTGTCTAGGTTTATGCGTGTTTTTGCAACATTTAGTCCGTTTGTCTTGTAATGCATTTAGTAGGTGGTTAAAAAGGTGGAGTTCTTAAAAAGCGTACAAATGTTACAGAAACACCGCGACGTAGCTGGATCGATCCTTACACCTGCTTGGAGATGAACACAATTGCACAGTAGAACAGTTCTATAATATAGTATCAGCTACGTTATTCAGTAACGCTTGTGCGCGTGCCAGCTTGCTAAAATAGTAGCAACTTCTGATATCATCATCATCATCTTCTGATATATTGAATCTAGTAGTACTGACGAAGACATATTATATCTTGTCTTTTGATAACATAATATCGACATCGACAGTAATTGTGACAAACAATGAAAACTTAACTTGTGCTTCACGCCGGAATAGGTTCTATGGTTTCAGAACCACATGTTCCTCATACAGTGGAACAGTATATACGTCGACCTTTGTACTATCGGTATGGCAAAACAGCAATGAAAAACAACCTTAACTGCCAACTTTGGTCTTTTTATCAAATACATGTGTACGTCGATTACACTTGTCTTTTTTGTGTGTCTTTTATGTGTCTGTTTTCCAAAAGTCTATATATAGAATGCTTTCAAGGCACGGAATGTAATAAATAACGAAGGCATTGAGAGAAATATCTTTTCTTACCCGTGCTATGTTGGATACTTCCTCTGTAATATCACCGCAGTCACGTTGCTAAACAAGGTTAAAGGTACGCAAAGTGTTGAATTCTTTCAGACAGATTTAATGATTTTGACGTGCATACGAATATTCGTTCCATGACCGACTACCCTAAACTAATCTCCAAGCAGATCTTTCGGTGGGGTTAAGACAGTATCAAATTGGCCAGACACTCCTCTGGCCAATGGATATTGCCTTGCCACCGTATGATCTGCTTGGAGATTCCCCTAAACTGCACCCTTTCCCTAATCTTAACCAGCCTTAGTCCCTTTTAATACATCACAAATGGTCTTTAACTAGTACTATTTCGGGGATCCTCTGGGGTCACCCCCCCCCCTACCCCCATGTACGTGACACCCGAAAGAAGTCCTATCTACAATGTCTTGTGAGGACACGGGCGGATAAGATAAACTGTTGTAACGGATTGTGAAGATGAGAGGTGCCAGGCCAATAACCACAATATAGATAATTAGTGACCACAACTCTCTTCACCATGAAACATCATACTGTAGTAAAGTACCTCGTAAACAGTAACATTAGAGGTCATTCGAGTACCACAGGAAACAGCGGGAGCAAGAGGAAAATTCTACTGTTCTAATTATACGTCTAATTATATCCAAGCAATCTTAAGTAAGCTTTTAGAGTGCTCACTGGTAGTAATTACAGACACTGATTATTTCCTGTGTACCTTAATTCAATTGTTTAAGTGCACCTGAGGACTAAAACAGCTGAAGATTGAGGAAGTAGTCTATAAAATGGACGAGCGAGAAGTATTTGGAGAGAGAGACATTGCATACTGCAAAAGGCACGTCCTGGTCGAAACAATACTAGAAGTTGCCCCCGAGTCTACGTTAATTATGGCCAGTCCAGGTCAGTCCCGTAATATGTTTCCTTCTTGGGTGGTTAAGCTGGTCATTTGTACGTAATTTTAGCGGACCAGGGGTTTTATTTCGTTGAGTGCACCTCAACTGAATTTTAAAAAATCTGCATAACGTGATTTCTGTGGCTTGGTAAACAAACTACACCCAACAAATACAAACATGTACAGGGCAGTAATCACTCTATAATTACGTTACGTATAGTACGGAAAACTAAGACTGGTCACTTGCCCCTTCCAGGAATGCAGTCTGAGTTTTCCAGGCACTATAAACTTATAATACCTGCGCCTGGCAAAGCTACCTTCAAAACAAGCTTTTCTCTGTGGCATGTTCGCCCTAGCGTCGGAGAGCTGGTCTGTGTGTGTCTTGGCAACAGCCTGGATTCCAGGCTAAGGTATAGAAGAAACTGTGGACGTCAGGATTCTATACACTCCCCTCCCTGTCCCCTGCTCCTCTACTGAAACATCGCTTGCCTGGTTGCCAGTCTATTGCGGGTATGGCGGGTTCTGTTCCATGGTACCATGCCGGAGGTATTACGGAGAATGGCACCAAAAGGCTAACAATTTTCCCCAACAGCTTCAGCTCGGGTATAGACCTAGCCTCCGTACGCGTAGCAGGCTTATAGAACTGGGGGTTTGGTGGTCTTCGGCTGTTTTCTGATTAGCCCAGTTCTAAAAAAACGGGGGTAATTCAACCGGGCCGGCTATGTTGTCTATATGCAATCAGAAAATAGCACACAAAAGCTCCCCAAAACCCCGAAGACCCCCAAAACTCCCAGTTTTTGGCATGCTATAGAGGCTTGTGTGGACCCCAGGCTAAAACATCGCGTGTTCTACATGCTGGTTTGTTCGTTGGAAGTCCTTGAACCTAAAGTTTGGGGCAAATTAGCGCTTCACCTTGTAGCGGCCATGTTTGTATTATCCGCACCCCCTTCTGTAGGTCATGGGGAGTGGGTAAACGTTCAGATCCGTCCCACACAGGCCCCGGTATTAAAAGTCAATCAACTGCACTAAACCACTAGACCAGACGTAATGTGACACTCTGACATGACTCGGGGGTCGCTGGTTCGATTCCTAGGCACACTGGGCCTGACATTGTACATGCGTCCTTGGGAAAGGCCCCAAACGCGACTTTCCTTGCTCCACCCAGGTATAAATGACCCCCTCTACGTGCAGCATGTCTCTTATACACTTCAGCAGCTTCCCTTTAAACCACAGGTACCCGACGCCTTCGACGACAGCCTGGAGATCAAGAAAACATCGCTAGGTGTCGCTAAATGACGTCTTTATCGTCGCATGTATGGCAGCGAATATGTGTCCTTGACCTTATCGTCTATAGTGGATCGTAGAATTGACAGAGCTCTGATTTTTCAGTTTAAATAAGTCAAACCACTTCACAAAATAATGGTTTGCTGAAGAAAAATATCTTACGATTTTCAGACATTGTGAGACTCTAACGTTAGGCCACACCAAGTAAATTTTATGGATGACATCCACGCGCGCATTGATTTTGGCCCGTTCCTAAAAAAAAACAACAAGAAATTCCGCTTCCTGTAACTATGACCAAAGAGTCACGACAGTGCCGCAAATCGTCAGATTGACGTGAAACCCGTAACAGGACAGGACGACAACTGCTGTTTCACCTGATTTATTGCTGTCTTGATGATGAATAAAAGACTTCTTGCTTGTTACACTGTGTCACCTCATTCAATTTGTGTCCTAACATTTGTCGTCTCTTAGTATATTTCTAATCTAGGCATCTTGTTTTTTAGGACCCTTCTTGTTCTTTTTTTCGCCCTCTCGCATTAGATTTAGGGTCTCCAAAGGGCGTCATCCATAAAATTTACTTGGTGTGGCCTTACCTGATAACACAAAGATGACTTAACAATTTAGCCATCCCTGCTCCTAAATAAAACGTCTGTAGCTAGTCAGACGTTAGAAAGCGATCCCGTTCGTTCAATAGAGCCTCGCCAAACATACATTCACTCATGAACTCCAAGGCGTACAACGGTTTTCACATGGACATGGAGAATTTCTTACTTGGCCATTTATCAAGCGACATTGAACCTGCTCAGAGACGTGTTGTAATATGGGTCAGACTGAGGAATCTCACATCCACGCACAGGTCATGAGATAGTTCTACAACCGTTCTAGAAAGGGGTACCTTATCTGTAGAAAACTACATCGTATTTGAAACTTCCGAAATAGACAGGATATAACAGAAGACAACAATGTGATTATTTCGGAGAGTACACAAACGTAGAATATCCACCAAAGCAAAATTGTACACTACTCTTACGGCTTACATTTGGTTTAATGATTCATATATGGCATATAAGTTTAAGTGATATTCTACCTATTTTCGTACCTGAAGAGATACTGCTTCGTTTTGTCTTTTCTCAATGTGCTCTAAGATGTTCTTGAAATTTTGCCAAAATGTAGTCTTTAAAATCACTCCTTCAAGTTGCATAGTGCAGCGTTCTGTTAAATTAGTAATATGCACCTAAACACAGCATACTGTATTTGATTTGATTTGAACGCAGCAGCGCATGAAAGCGTTGCTAAAGTGATAGAGCTAAGTTAGTGCACACTACAAACAGGCCCGCGGATTTCACCGTATATTTGCTATCTACATATTGACACTGTTGTCCCATTTTAACGGTGCCCCATTCTGTCGACGTTGCCATGGATGCGTGTTTGATTGACAGGCTATAAAAAGTCTACAAACTCGAAGGTGGGTGTGTCAGCTAGAGTTCACACAGGTCGCTGGATCTGGGGAGTCGTGGACACTACTTCAGTGAGCTGAGAGAACAGGGTACGACTGTGACCTCAAGCAAGGAAGCGACTTCGTCACAAGATTGGTGTATCCAATACAAGTAGGTGTCGCCAAATGTATATGATTACCATAAACCTCTACACTTAACTGTGTGTTGTAGGCTAATGTCATTGAGTAAAAAAGAAAACTCGTCGCACGGGTTACATTTTAAACACCTGGTCTGTATGTGTGGGCTAATAACCGTGTTTTACACTTGTCGACTTTCTAGGAATGCTTGTTACAAATTTTACGGGCATCTCTTAACTCGTTAACTTTGTTAGTTTCAAGAAAGTTGTGAAGATCTAAGAAGATGTCTTCAAAGCCAGGACATGTCACTTGGCATTTCACCACTAAAGGCAATAGGTATTGACAGGATAACAAAGACGAACAAGCTACAGCTATGGTTTAACTAATTGTGTACAAGTCATTAGAGAATGGGCACTGAGGCAGAAGGACTAGACGTTGTCGACTCGTCCACTAGTTGTGTCTATCGTAGAACGTGTTGTGTTAGCACACATGGCACAAGGAGTTTCTCATTTTGGAAGGCGTGGGTATATTTGTGTTACAGCCACCTGTACGTGTACCTGTGAAATACTTCATGCAGCATTTAAAGGAAAACATCCACCCCAAAACACGCTCTATGTAGACGCTATGTAGTACCAAAGAGTGACGACATTCTTGACTAAGCTGATATAATATCGAGGTGGACACATGCTTGAAGTTGGTCAACACGAGCCCACCTCCGCATTGTTTGATTTAGAGGTGTGTCCGTCCATATCTGACGTGTCTACGTTGTGTGTGTGCACGTAAAGTGGCTGTTATTGTACCAAACCGGACAGGTATGCGCTTCAAAAGGTCACTGAAGCTTCCCAAACCCGCCGTATCGCCACGAGTCATTACAGGATTCATTCTCTTCTCCCTGTATACTCGTCACTACCCCATTCCCAAGGCCACCTGTTCCCTTTACCCTTTGTTGTGCCCCCATCATGGTATATGGTATTGTACAAAGTCCATTGAAAAGCAATTACACTGTCGCTGAAAGGTTGGAAAAAAGCAGAAACGTTACAATGGTTATTTCTACACGTGTGCTGACTGGCAGATTGTACACAACAGAAGGTACGAGTTTCACGTGTTCATGTGCCTGATGACTCGGTTTACAGAATCCGTAAGTATGGGTCTAAAATCAGTTGTTACCGTGAAACCATTGTACAAAAGACAGTTGTACACCACCTAGTCGAATGCCAAGGTCCCTTGTGTACTATAATTTTACAAGTATGTGATGTTGACCGTTCTAGAAATGACGAGGGGTGGTCGTAAACATATATTAATAATTAATTCACATGTCAATAATGTATGACGTGAAATGCTACACGTGTACAGATACGGCGACTTATTTTTTCCTGGATATCGGCAAAGCGTGCCTAATTTTGACCTTTTAGAAATCAAATTTTGTAAATATTTGAACGTCTGTGTGTTGTTTGTCTGACGCCATTTTGTTTCGGGTCTATGGATGGAACGTATACTAGTAACATTAATCATAGCAGCCAATTCGTCAACAACATTCCTACAAGATACGAGCATATGCTTAAGCACTGGTCTCTAAGAATAAGGAAGGAGCAAATGTTAAAATGGATAAAAAGTGGTGGATCATTTAAGTTGCAAGATGGGGAGAGGTAGATAAACAAATATAAGAACAACATTTAAAAAGAGGAAACCGTTGTCTTAGAAATACGTCCATGTTAGCATCTGTCGGCCGATTTTAACTCAGAAAAAACTTTCATAATTAATTCTGCATAATTATAGCTCCAACACATTTGGTTACAACAGACTGTGTAATTACTTTTTCCACTATACGCAGAGTTGTCGAGTGACGGAAACTAGACTGGCTCACTGCCACCTGTAACTTGCCGCCCGTGACAATACAGGGTTCTAGATTTATCTCAGAAAATTGAATTTTTGCACTTATTACAACGTTGTATTCCCAAATTCGCTTCATACACCAGAATTAAGCTTCGTCTCTGAAACGTTACGACATTCTGTGGCTCTAAGACAAAAGCTTGAATTCCATAATTTTGGCTTTAAATTTATATTTGTGACAGTGCTTTCGGGGGTGGGGTGTCTTTGAGCAAGCTAGTCAATTTGCAGAAGTTAGTGTGTATTTTAGGTGGTTGAAAGCGGAACTTCAACAAAGGTTAGCTAGAAATAAAGGCAGTGTTTTGTGTACTCAGTCGGCTGGCAATTACAAGGCAGTGAGCTTTTCAAACGGAACTTCACTCCTGTGTTTTCTACAAGAGAGTTGAAGCGTAACATGTTTGTCGTTAATCAACATATACATCAATGTCGGCTGAACGTGACCACAATACTTAATGTAATGGGGGTGTGTCTGTATAGATGTGAGTCTGTGTTACTACGTACTCGTGACTTATGCTCACGACGGTAAACAAATCCATTGTTCTTAGAGCAACGAATTCAAGGTATGGGTCTGGATCATCGCGGTGAGGAAAGTCAAAAGTTCAGGCAGGCATGTGAGGTTCAAACTTCACGGGTTACGCATGTGGAACGGTACCATAAATTTGGGGTGGTCCTCGGGCCCTTGTTGTTTTCGTGTAGCAATCTTACATGTCAGTTCACTTCGCTGGCTGTTTTATATCTGAACAATAGAAGGTCGCCAAGCCAGGTCACTCCTCATTCCACCAAGGTTATCTGTCAGCAAAGTGGAAGATTAGTGTAGCCTTCGCTACAAATTGGTTCACAAAACAGTCAAGTAATGTCGTCTAGTTGTCAACGGATATATACCAACATACACACACTCATACACACACTTGTAGGCTGTCTTTCTGTGAGATATGTCTTTCGTATTAAACACTAATTGAAGTTTCTCGTAAAACGTCACTTTGGAGGGTTCTTTTGGAGTCTAGAGGTTTGTTTGATTGCAGTAATAACCACTTGGTGGCAGGACGTAACATCATAAAGACCTGGACAACGCCCTGTGTCAACTCACGAGTCATTAAAAGCGCCCTTTCCGCTGACCTTTGCTTCAAACCATTAACATTAACGACCCGACCCGCCACTTTCTGGATAAGGCGTCATTAGTTACCTGTGAGGCACGGCCTGGACTCAGGAGTGTGCATTCTGCAAAAATATTCTTCGGAGTGAAAATTATCGGTTCCTTGTTAAAGTACTTGTGTTATTGCTATCTTTAAGATTACTTGTCATACATAAGTGAATAACATTATAGTGGTTAGGGTTTATTCCAAACAAGCCGGTGACATTTACTTCTTGGCTTTACTGTCCCTTCTATTGTACCGCCTGTGCTACTTTTTGAAAGGAGACCTTTGTTGATTTTCTTAGAAATGAAAGTCATCTGTTTTCGATATACTAGTGATTGCTATTTTAGATTTCCTGTCATGCAAGTGAACAACACAAATGTAGAGATACGCAGAAGAGCAGGATGTTCCTGACAATTTACTGTAAATAGGTGTAGAGTATTTGCGCGCGGTTTGCCCCTCCTAGAATTGTAGCAGTCACACCTGTTAGTACGTGTGTAGGCGTAGGTGTTTGCGGCCGCATTCCTACTGCTTTGTCGCCACACCCAGAACTGTGGATATATAAAGCAGTCCTGCAGTTTTAGTACTAGTGCTCAACCTCAGGGTTTGTTGTATACAGGTGAAAAATGCCGACTGAGTTCGAGAAAGACTGTCTGGCGGCGCACAACCGGTACAGGGCGGAACACGGGGTACAGCCGCTCAAACTCAGCAAGGCGCTCACCAAGCATGCGCAGAAGTGGGCCGACCATCTGGTGAAATGCGGCTCGTTCCAGCACAGCGGTAACCATGACTACGGAGAAAACATCGGCATGAAGTGGAGCTCCAACAACGAAGCTGTAACAGGTGTGTGTACGCAAAACTTCGGTATGACACCTGCTATTTGTTTTCAACTACTTTTGCGCGCGCTCTCTTGAGTGTTGTTTCTGCCGCATTGCCGTTACTGAAAGTATTGCCTATTGTACTTACAGTTGATGGTAAAACAATGTTAAGAAATTAGTATATCAATTCCGTGTTTGAGTCAAGAATGCATTTCTGATTTCAGGCGCCTCCATAGCGGAGATGTGGTACAGTGAAATTGAGAAGTACGACTTTAGGAAGGGTGGACATCAGCCGGGGACAGGTGGGTTGTTACATTTCCGTTTCCTAACACTGCCTTTTACTGTTGATTACGTTATCATGTGTTCCTTTGCGCTGTTTTTAAGTATCGGAGCTGCGTACTCCCTCAAGACATTAATTCATCATATAGAGAATTTCTGAATCTCTCTGGCAAATTAATAGGATAACAGGGGTGCTATTCCATTAATTTACCATATAGAGAACCATATAGCAAAATTTTGGTGGTGTAATGGGATAGACTTTTCTAGCTATAGCTATCCCATGTAAAAGTAGTTAGCGCGTTTTTTAAACGAAAAAACTTTTCAGTACTAAATAAATGGGACGAATTCTAGTAAGCAAATCTAGAAGAACAGATGCCAAATTTTCATCTCCTCTCCTCCAGGCCACTTCACCCAGGTGGTGTGGAGGGGGAGTCAGGAGTTCGGGGTTGGAGTGGCGACCGACGGGAGAGGGAAAACCATCGTGGTGGGGAACTACTACCCGCCTGGAAACATGCTGGGGGACTTCGACGATAACGTGCTGCCTCCGGGGTGAGTATAGCCAAGTGAAGGGTGCAAAAGTTAGTTTAAAAATGTTATGGCAAAACAAGAGTACATGCAACATTGAGTACACTGTAAACTTGATACTACTAACATGTCAGCCAAATCACTAATCTGATAACTTGCTTGTATTACGTTAACAGGTCCCCTCCCAAAGAAGGCCACTCCAAACCACGTGATCCGTCGCCTAGCAACCGTTGGGACGATCAACCGTCAAAAGGCAACTTTCGCCCGATACCTACGTCACGTCCGTCCAGAAGGAGCCCCTCCCCGGAACATACGTGTGGCAAAGGTTCGTTCGGAATAACCTTTGATTCTTTACAAACTGCGTTTGAAGAGCAACAAAAACATTTTATGACGTCAAGAGTATGTGAATGAAATCCTAGTAAGGTAATAGGAGCAACTTATTGGGCTTCCTGGATCGCAACCAGGCAACACAACGCTTTAAAAATTACCTGTTTTTTTTCAGTTGATGCAGGTGATTTTGCGGAAGACTGTCTCGCCGCACAGAACGACTACCGACAGAAACACGGAGCCCCACCCCTCAAGATGAGTGCCAAATTATGCACGCATGCGCAGCAGTGGGCGGACCGCCTGGTGAAGTCCAACACCCTGCAGCACAGCGGTAACCATGACTACGGGGAAAACATCGGGATGAAGTGGAGCTCAGATAACAAACCTGTCTCAGGTAGCTGCTCTTCGCCACTTCCTTTTCTACAGTGACTAAACAGTTCTTAAAGTCAACATTTACCCCAAATGCAGGATATTTCCCATCCTATCCTTATCAAAAGTATTTCTTCTTCGATGCGGATACTATAGTTTTCCACTGACAAAATAACAGAAATTGGCCCAAAGGACATAAAAGTCGGCCAGCTATAGGAATGTACTGCTGCACACTCGCGCGTGCTTCTGTTGGGAAGGATGAAGGGTACGTCATGATCATTTGACCAATCAGGGCGCACAAAATTATCCTTGATGTTGATTCGTCCACAACAACCATCTGGACCTTGCCTATCCTTGGTGCTGAAATTGCCATCTCACAAGTTAAGTACAACAGCAGTGGTCACTGTACGCACAGCAATGCACACTCCTGTAGACAACAACTATCTAAACTGTAAATACTTCAAGAAGGTGTGAAATCTTCAATCTATTGTCTCTACAGGCGCTTCCATCGCGGAGATGTGGTACAGTGAGATCGAGAAGTACGACTTTAGGAAGGGCGGGCACCAGCCGGGGACAGGTGGGTAAAGTCGCTTTCGTGGGTTTTACAATCATAGTCCACAACTTAAAACGCTTCGGTGTGGCGTAATTTCATGGAGAATTTCGCTTTTCACCATGCCGCATTTTCCCCCAGGCCACTTCACCCAGGTGGTGTGGAGAGGGAGTCAGGAGTTCGGAGTTGGAGTGGCGACCGACGGGAGAGGGAAAACCATCGTGGTGGGGAACTACTACCCGCCTGGGAACATGCTGGGGGACTTCGACGATAACGTGCTGCCTCCGGGGTGAGTTTTAAGCTGGATTTGGTGAATATAGGAAGGCTATAGAAATGCAGATATGTATAGAATGTCCACGTGCATATCATAGCGTATTTAGCTAAAGAATAGGAAGGCCAATACCCAGAATTTCAAACCTTTGGAGAATTGAATTTTGCTTGCACGTAGACAAATGGACCACGTAGACAAATGGACCACCGTTGATTTATTCCCCATTTTTTTCTTAAGTTCTCCTGTAAAAGGAGGCCAATCAAAGCCACGTGACCCGTCGCCTAGCAACCGCTGGGACGACAAGCCGTCAGGAGGAAACTTCCGGCCGACGCCTACGTCACGTCCGTCCAGGAGGAGCCCCTCCCCGGAACAAAGTCGAGGTGATTTTGCGGAAGACTGTCTCGCCGCACAGAACGACTACCGACAGAAACACGGAGCCCCGCCCCTCAAGATGAGTGCCAAATTATGCACGCATGCGCAGCAATGGGCCGAACGCCTGGTGAAGTCCAACACCCTGCAGCACAGCGGTAACCATGACTACGGGGAAAACATCGGGATGAAGTGGAGCTCAGATAACAAACCTGTCTCAGGTACAACTTCTTGTTATTGGCGACGCCTCATGGATGGAGGCATTTTCTGTTTGATAATAATCTTTTTTTTCTTATCAGCTGCTTTACAATTTTACAATAAATCTTTTTGGTTGAAAACAACTATTTAAATCTTTCTTTTATGTCTTCAGGTGCCTCCATAGCGGAGATGTGGTACAGTGAAATTGAGAAGTACGACTTTTAGGAAGGGCGGGCATCAGCCGGGGACAGGTGCGATGTATTTTAGTTTTAAAAGTCATATACCAAACCAATCACTGTCACGAACTGCATAAAGAAAAACTTCAGTTCTACCAACGGTGTTTGGGGTGAAGTACTGATACCTTTGTCTTGAACTCCGTATCATAGGTTTACATTAAGTTATTGGCACTTTACGCTTAGTAGCACTTTTTCACTTGTCCTCTTTTGGCCCAGGCCACTTCACCCAGGTGGTGTGGAGGGGGAGTCAGGAGTTCGGAGTTGGAGTGGCGACCGACGGGAGAGGGAAAACCATCGTGGTGGGGAACTACTCCCCGCCTGGGAACATGCTGGGGGACTTCGACGATAACGTGCTGCCTCCAGGGTGAGTAGACGAACAGTTTGGTTAAAGAGCGATAGGCGGCGCTTTGAAGCTTGGGTAGCAGTATGCATTGGTTATACCTCATCTGCCTATCATTTACAGATCGCCATTGGATGACAGAGGGAAAGGAGACGGCAAGACGACCAATGACAGTGACCGACACAACAGGCCAGGCAGACACTCACCGAGTTTGAACGGGCCAGGGAACAAGGCCCCACATACTTGCCATGGTAAGGCTGTGGTAACGTTAAATGATGAACTGCCATTTACAATACTTTTAATACATCCATCACAAGAAGATCTCGTAGCCCTCCCTGATCTTCATCCTTGCCCCCACTCGTAGCCCTCACTGATCCTTGCCCCCACTCGTAGCGCTCACTGATCCTTGCCCCCACTCGTAGCCCTCACTGATCCTTGCCCCCACTCGTAGCCCTCCCTGATCCTTGCCCCCACTCGTAGCCCTCCCTGATCCTTGCCCCAACTCGTAGCCCTCCCTGATCCTTGTCCCCACTCGTAGCCCTCCCTGATCCTTGCCCCCACTCGTAGCCCTCCCTGATCTTAATACCTTTCCCCCACTCGTAGCCCTCCATGTATCCTTCCCCCAATTGTAGCCCTCCATGATCCTCCATCCTTGCCCCCTCTCGTAGCCCTCCCTGATCCTTGCCCTCCACTCGTAGCCCTCCCTGATCCTTGCCCCCACTCTTAGCCCTCCCTGATCCTTGCCCCCACTCGTAGCCCTCACTGATCCTTGCCCCCACTCGTAGCCCTCCCTGATCTTCATCCTTGCCCCCACTCGTAGCCCTCCCTGATCTTCATCCTTGCCCCCACTCGTAGCCATCGCTGATCTTCATCCTTGCCCCCACTCGTAGCCCTCCCTGATCTTCATCCTTGCTCCCACTCGTAGCCCTCCCTGATCTTCATCCTTGCCCCCACTCGTAGCCCTTGCTGATCGATCCTTGCCCCCACTCGTAGCCTACCCTGATCTTCATCCTTGCCCCCACTCGTAGCCCTCCCTGATCTTCATCCTTGCCCCCACTCGTAGCACACCCTGATCTTCATCCTTGCCCGTAGGATCCTAAGACTGCTAGATTTATTGTGCTGTTTATCAAACTTGACTTGTTTAACCGACGAGCTGAGAGAACTATTGTAGTCACAGTCTGTGTATCATTGAAAATAGGGCACATCGGCAGAACGTACTGCGCCTGCTCGAACCCCGTAATGTATTGTGCATAGCACTTCGGTAGAAGGTCTCATATAAGCGTATATAAGGTTAACACTCCGTCTGTAGTTTCCAAATGTTGTGTCGGAAAAGACTTCATCTACAACAGGCAAAATTCTGATGCAACGTTGACCAAACATCCAACGAAAAAAAAAAGGATTTCGTGCAGGCGCAGTACGTCCTGCCAACGTGCGTACGTGAAAATAGCCATGACTGTGTCGTTTAAATCTCGCGAGATTGAACGTGACATCCACTCTTTACATCTTGTCAGCTGGTTCTGACGACTTCCAGGATGACGCACTCCGGGCGCACAACTCCTACCGGGCCAACCACGGCGCACCTCCACTCAACATCAGCGCCAAGCTGTGCGAGCATGCGCAGAGGTGGGCTGATCACCTGGTGAGGTCCAACACGCTGGGTCACAGCTCCACCCGGGAGTACGGGGAAAACGTCGGGATGAAATGGAGCTCCAACAACGCACCCGTGTCTGGTACGTATGCAGACATTATGAACTGTTTTGTGACGATTTTACATATGTCAGGGTAGAGACTTTCCTCAATTCACTCCGGTGTAAATGAGTACCTAGCTTCGGTTAGGGACGTCCCTCGTATAGGACGTTAAATGGAGGTCCCGTGTTTGGGAGAGCCACACCCCACGCACGTTAAAGAACCCACCACACTTAACGAAAAGAGAAGGGGATCTTCCCGGTGTGAGTGGTTCAAACCTTACAGTCTTGTGTACGTCTTCTTACGTACCGTGCTTGGAGTCCTAGGCCTATTGAGTTGAACTACATTATGTATTTCAAAGCGATCATAATATATCTCTACCCCGGAGGCGTCGCAAAAAAAGCTGCAAGCAGTTAACCGATCACTCGTACTGATTTTAGTTTTCTTTGCGTTGTGTCCACAGCTCAGTCCGTGGTAGACATGTGGTATAACGAGTCCGAAAAATACAACTTCAAGAAGGGAGGGCACCAGCCTGGGACCGGTAAGTTAACCCTGAAGTTAACCTTGTCATCAAATTTGGACAGATCCTCCTGTGATAGATAAGTAAAATTCCATTTCAAAGTCACCTTTCTTACCAAATTTCGCCATTATCGTTTCAAAGTTGTTCTACATGATTCGTGAGAATAACAGGTTTCTGTCGCTTAGCGATAACATTCGGTACTGCAGATCAGCCACGAACTTTCTTTGCATTTACGTAAATGTTGTCTACATGGGAGAACTGTTTGTGTTCCAGGTCACTTCACCCAGGTGGTGTGGAAGGGGAGCCGTGAGCTGGGGATGGGTCGGGCAGAGGACGGGAAGGGGAAAACCATCGTGGTGGCCAACTACTTCCCGGCGGGAAACATGCTGGGGGACTTCGACAACAACGTGCTGCCTCCGGGGTGAGCTGGGATATCATAGAATTACATTGAACAGCAAATTTCTTAATTCATAGCCACTTCAGGAGCTGACGATGACCATTTGTCATCTTCATCAGGGCAATTATGACGATGACAGACGGTTATCGAAACGTCGGCTCTTGTTAAACAAGTGGTTGAGAATAAAATGTGCTTCTCAATCATTCACCAACCTGATGAAATTATTCAAGGATGTAGTACTATTGCATGTTTATTAAAGATTTATAGATATTTTGCATACCGTATATGCTATTCACTCACATAAGGTTAACACCCGATTTCTGAAAAGCCTGACAACGACATTTGTGCGTCATGTCTTAACAAGAAATTCTTTCACTGTAAAACGTTGATAATCGTTTGTCTGACGTGGACAACAGTGGAAAAGTTTCCATGACTCTTTTTTTATGACGAAACTTTCATCGATGTCACCAGGTCACCAGTGAAAGACACCAAACCCTCCCGACCCTCCCAAAAAGATCCGGACAGACCTGGTCGTAAGGACAAACCGCACAAGCCGAAACGCAAAGGATCACGGTCGTCATCATCATCGTCTTCTTCCTCCTCCTCCTCCTCCTCTTCCTCTTCTTCTTCGTCAGAATCGTCATCAGATGAAGAAAGTGAGTATTTATTGAGATTTCTGTATAGATAATCACAAGTACCTATCCGCATTAAACGAGATGTGCTCGGAAATCGCCGATTTAATCCCCAAAATACGCTGATTTAATCTACAATACTATTTCCTACACCCTACTTGCGATTGGTCAACGACTATGAAATGTTATGATTCTGATTGGCCAACATTCACGTGACCATATATCAGCGCTTATCCAATCACATACCGCCTTGTAGTTTGACTGCTTTTCTTGTAACGCCATATTTAGCATAAGCATATCACCTGTCAATATGATTGAACATTTATGATATTTGGAGATAGAAATACGAAAAGGAAGGAGTGCTAAATCATTTCGTAACCGTCCTCAGATATCCGGGAGGATTTTGTGGAGGAGTGTGTGAGGGTGCACAACGAGTACCGAGGCCTGCACGGAGTCAAGCGTTTGAAGCCCAAGAAAAAGTTGTCCAAGCATGCGCAGAGGTGGGCCGACAAGCTGGCCAGGAGCGGCAAGTTCGAGCACAGCGGAAACGACGACTACGGAGAGAACATCGGCATGAAGTGGAGCTCGAAAGAAGAAATGGCGTCAGGTATACTATAAAAAATATTTTTTGGCGACGCCTCAGGAAAGGAAGCATTTGTCTTACAGTTTTCTGCCTTGCTTGTGGAATTTACAAATCGACAACCTTTGAAATCATATGATTAGCAGTTGTAAATGTAACTGGGTTACAATGTACAATGATATGCTAATTTGGAATTGCAATGACTTTAAAATGCGGCAAAATAGTAACATTTAGTAACTTCCAAATGGACCAAGGGTTCGCTACAAACTTCACTAGACATGTATTCTACACGTACATTACGGTACAAATAAAATAACTGTTCCTTTTCATTTTCTTCCACGCTCAGCCTTGGAGCTTGAAGACGAACCTTGTATCAAAATCGGTAAAAACGACTTAAGGTTATAAATTAGGTGGTTTGTTTCTGAGGAATGGTGCTCAGTACTCATGGGGGAACATTTTCTTTCTTGAAACCTCTGTGACCTCACAAAGAATTGGGAAGATGGAGTTGCATGGTACCTTCTCATGAGAAGGAAATTCTCTGTAAATTTGTACAATCTTTAACTGAATGTTAATTTTTTTCCTATGGTTGCAAGGTAAAACTAACATGTGTGGTGTTGGAGGAAAAGTTGCCAGCCAATCACGTTGCCTCTTGCCCTTAGGCGTCGATGTGATTGGCTGGTAACTTCCCCCAACAAGAGACCGATTTAATTAGGTTTCGTTTGGGGACACGGTAACACACTGGCTTAAGTATGTTTAGGAATGTGTTGTTACAAAACCGTGTGTTACTTTTTTCTACAGCAAGGGACATCGTTGACATGTGGTACGAGGAAATTCAGAAGTATAACTTCAACCGAGGAGGACATCAACCGGGAACAGGTAAGGTTCACATTCTGTGTATCTCTACAGAATAACATAATATAGTAACAAACATATACACGCTCCTCGTATTATCAATACCATAGTTTCTTCTGATAATAATGGCCGTGACAGTTAAAACATTTTTATATTGTATCAGGGGAATCCCGGGGCCTCTATTTCTTTTCGACAAGCATAAAAACAGTAGACCACATTCCGTCCTAAAATTGTGCCCCTCTTCAGTAGCGTGCATGTCAGCAGGTAAAGAACGGTCGGGATTCGAACTCAGGACTGCTTGGTTAAGAGACAGGATAGAGGGTCAATTTACTTTTAAAGATTGAAATATTATGATGTTGACTCAGTTTTGTCTCCTCCCCTTCAGGTCACTTCACGCAGGTGGTGTGGAAGGCGAGTCGGAAGCTGGGTGTGGGCGTGGCTAAGGACGGCAAAGGGACAACCATCGTGGTGGCCAACTACCTGCCTGCCGGGAACTTTCTGGGCAAGTTCGACGAAAACGTCACCATGCCTGTCGGGTAATACATGTATTCAATATTATTCATAATATTCATACAATAAGCCAAAAAGGCAAGAAATAGTCCATCCACAGAGGCTAGGTCGTACTTACATGCTTCTCTTTGTTTCGTTTTTGGCCCTAATGTAATGCATTGTATTCGAAATATGTGGCCATTGTATTTACCGTACAGCACAACGACCAAGAAAACATCTGACCTGAAGCTTTACGATCCATCCAAGCGCCCCCTGGCGTCACACAAAGGTAAAACAGACGACAAGAAGCGTCCGTCATCAGGGAGTACCGGGGTTAAGTCCCAGTCTATCGGCAATGGTGGTGGTCGGGAGGACAAACCTAGGCCTGTGCGGGATTCGCTCGGTGGCGGGAAACAGTTCGGTGCACCTGGAGCAAAAGTTAGTTCGTGCGGTGAAGGTGTTAAAAGTGAGTATGCATGGGGCTGGTGTAACTGCTTTTCAGAAACTGTAGCAGGGCATATCTCATAGTGCATGGCAACAAGGGTGCATAGAGAAGGTTTTGAAATGTGCATAGTACGTTCGAATGAATTCTAAGCATAGCTGCTTTTTGTGACAAGTAAAAACAACTTAAATGTCACCGTTTGATTTGTTTGTAAACTGTGCGTTCGTGCATCACACATTTGTTTCACAGGAGACTTCCCCGAAGACTGTCTGGAAGCTCACAATGAGTACCGCGCGCGGCACGGCGCCCCGCCCCTGGTCATGAGCCCCACGCTCTGCCTGCAGGCCAGGATGTGGGCCGACAAACTTCTCAGGTCCAACACTCTCGAGGTAGGGGAGAACACCTACAAGTAGTACAGGGTAGAAAACAACGTGTATAGCGGTTAATGACATGGGTTGTCGAATTAGCACCAAGGACAGATATAGTGCTTCCCGAAGCTATAGTATGTGTATCGGCACAGTCCCGTCATCTTCCTGATTACAGCAAGCCAGTGATCACCCAGTGGGTCCGCTCAAATTCCCCGGGGCAGGCTAAGTGGTGTGGGCGGCACATGGCTCTTTGCCGACCGAGAGTCATGCTGCCCATGCTTGCTACACTGTATGGTGACCAGGCTGTACTTCTCGTTGTGCATGGAGAATGATAGACCGTTTTCTGCCTTCGCATAGATACTTTCATGAGCAGTTGTTTGTGTATGGAGATCTAATAAACGGCTGTTACAGTATAGTCTTGTTGTTACAGTATTGTCCTGTTGTTACAGTATAGTCCAAAGGATCAGTATGGACAAAACATCGGCAAGATGGTCAGTTCCGGAAGCGGAGAACTTTCAGGTACATCTGTCTACAAGTCTTTCTATGTTCTTGACACTTCTTTGACATTAAAGCCTCTGACGTTAAATACGTTTAACTTGATAATGTTTTCCCCCTTGGTGTTGCCTTTATCTGGTACATATATCTCATTTAACTGAATGTGCTGTAGTTGTTAATTCGTTAATGTGTATTGCATCCTCTAATCATGCAGGGAGAGCAGTGGTTGATAAGTGGTATGAAGAAGTGAAAACGTACAACTTTAGGAAAGACGGAAACCAACCCGGTACAGGTGTGTATTCAGCGTCTATGGTCGTACTACACCGCGTACCACCCTGTGCCCTGTATTCATTTGTTTTCACATTTAAATTGCGTTTTTCTATCCAGACTTTATGACCGAATCCTTGCGTTTTTATTCCATTCCTAGTCTTTATTCTACGTTTGAACATGCGTTTCATATATCCTAATATCTCAAGCAATTTGTTACTGGTGTTTGTGAATAGAGTTTCATGTTTTCCATTGTCAATGCCAAATGTGTAACCAGAAGTACATCATATAATTCGTTTATTCCTCCTTACAATCCTCTATCTATCAGCACCTAAATCAACCAGACATTGGCCAGTGAAAGAAAAGTTTGGAATAACGACCTACAACTGTTACAATGTGTTATTTCAGGTCACTTCACGCAGGTGGTGTGGCGATCGTCCCGCGAGTTCGGGATCGGGAAGGCGACAGACGGGAGAGGCACGGCGGTCGTGGTTGGGTACTACTACCCTGCCGGGAACTTTGTTGGCGAGTTCGAAAACAACGTACTGCCCGAACAACACTGAGAGTGACTGTCTTAACTAGCAGTGTTGACTCATAGTGTGTTTTTAGAAGATTTTGAGAACTGAATAGTAGTAGTTGTCGGAAATTGATTTTCCACCAATTTAATCCAGTTTTATTTGTATTTTATCGTTATTGTATATGCTGATCACAGAAGATAATTTATATGAATGACTACTATTATGTACTGTCGTACTGCAACATTTTCTGTAGTAAGTCCTGTACATACCTTTTATTTTCTCGAGGCACTTTCATCATTTCTGTCTTACACAAATGTTTTACTACTATCTGACCTAACAAAAGGTTTGGCTGTATATGTCCTTATTAGGTTAACGGTTAGGTAAGTGTCCAAAGTTGTCATGAGAAATTGGATATGGTCTCTAAACAGATGTTGGGAGAAATACTAGTATCATAATGTTTCTGGGGCTTCTCTGGCGGTCCTTTGCCAAATATGAGCAGATAAACGGTTGAGTAAAAGGACGAAGATGTTTAAGTAAAGCAAATGATGCTCATATATATCATTACCCTACTCATAACGTACAATATGTGATGTATATCGGAATGTAGGTGGCGCTTCGATGGGCAGACATGGTGTTATTTGTACTCATCGCGCTGCGCTTTCAAAGCATCCTTTTTATGTAATCTTGTGTCTTAAAGGTTATTCTAAATGTATATAAAGATGCCTTGGACTATTTGCGAAACTGTTACTGACTGTAACCCTAATTTCCTGTTTATTTTGATATTTTACAAGTCGGGAGTGCATACCCTATTAGAGCCTAACCTGCAGTACCGCTCCCGGCCGCCTCTAGAAAAGTGGCTAAAACGACCGTCAAATTGCCAAATAAATTTCGGTCTTATAGGGAAGGGGGAAAGCGCGAAAGGCTCGTAAAGGGGTTTGACTTTTTGAGGCGAATTTCACTTGGTTTTCATACGTACTGCTGTTTAAAAGCAATAAGGGGGATATTTAATACATTTCAGAAAAAACGATGGGGTATTAGGCCATGAACGACACGTTTCTCTCATTTTACCAACAGAACTGGTTGGGTAAGTGTTCTGTAAGATATCACACTCTCAGGTCCTGCCACGTCCAAATTTCAAAACTATTGTGTGCAACATGAAGGCGTTACATACATGCAATGCATCTGTTTGTTTAACAACAGATCCCATTTTTCGTTCTAAATGTTGTAAGATGTGTGGACTACTTAATGGTGCAATATAAGCTTGAGCGCCAGGGGAAGCCGTTTGGTGGCCTCTGGGCCGAAGACTTGCAACTGTATACGTTTAGTTCGTTACACCGGCCTCTGCAACAATGTAACCAACATATATACCTCTTGATAGAAAATCATGATTCAGGACCTATAGTATTTATCGCACCATGTTCTATTACATTTTTTGTGTGCGTTCGTATCAGACGTGTGTGTGTGTGTGTAGGATGTTATACATTTAATCTTTCTGAGCAATGATGGGGGTGGAGTAAAATGATGCGAAAATATCGTAGTCAGCAGAGCTTTTGCCAAAAACAGCACCAAAGAATAAAGGCAAAGCAAAAGTTGACATGATAGGACTTCACATTTCAAACAAGAATTCGGAGATCTCATTCCTCAATGAAATATGTGACTTTTTATAAATGTTTTATATTTGTCTCACAGACTATGGAAATAAGGTCGTAATTACCATAATCTGATTTAATTTATGGTTTTCTAAATTCAAATGACACCACACCCCACTCGTAGACCTCCCTACTCCTCCTCACACCCCACTCGTAGACCTCCCTACTCTTCCCCACACCCCACTCGTAGACCTCCCTACTCTTCCCCACTCGTAGACCCCTTGACTCTTCCCCACACCCCACTCGTAGACCTCCTTACTCTTCCCCACACCCCACAAAATGTCAGAGACAATGATCAAACAAACTTCTCCGTAACTCTTGTATTTATTTCTAACAGCCAGTATTTTCATAATCTGGAATTATAAAAGTGATATGCCTACTTGTACAGAGCACCAGAGAAAAAAAACAGGCTTCCCAACCTTATTTACAACACATAGAAGCCTGGACTAGAATATGGAGATCTGGAGATGCTACAACATGTACAACACTCCATGGCTGTAGCAAATATACAGGCAGGCATAACGGTTGTAGAGAAGCTGATCACCTACAGCAAGCCACTTCCATATAACATAAGAGCAGCTCTGCGTTTATGGTGTAGATGTATAAAGTCTACCTCACCTCTGATGCATTTCTACATACTCAATCCACCAAGCAGAGCATGGGAACATGCACCGCGAAACTGTACTGTACTAAATTTCAAATTTTACAAGAAAAAATCTGTCGACATTAAAAGCAGTGATCATCTCTTCATCTACTGACAAATTTTATATCAATATTCAATACACTGGACACAATAAACATAACCTGTATAGGCGTAATTACAATTTTCATAGGCATCTTAAACGTACATATTACGATATATAAATGGTAAAATTTTCTTTTCAAGTATTCTTTAAACATGTTTATTACGCAGCACCATAGCCGGTAAATGGCATTCCCTGCAGTACAACAGCTTCCACACGCAAGAGCGAAAAAAAACTAACTCCATAATCTCTTGCATTTGTTATACAATGACAGTATTGACGTAGTAAAATAAAAATAAATTCCTGCTGATAAAAAATCATGGTACACAGAACCAATAAAAAAACATTGTCATGTACTTTGCAATATTGTAGCCCATTAAAAACAACGACATGATATTTACACGACAGGCAGGTATTCCATGAGATTTGAAGTGCATGATTTACAAAGATAGTAAAAGGCCAGACCATACTGGAGCGGGATCGTACTTGTACAGCACCAATATGATGTTTCACATAATCTTGCATAATAATCTTCTTAACCTTCTCCCTGTTGCCTAACCCTGGAACCAATACAAATTTGGTGGCCTAAAGGCTACTTCAGCAGAGCGAAGGTTAAATGAGTCAAGAATCGAACAGACCGGCATATCATACTTTTTCTTGCTCTATTTCTATACAGCCGATCACTATGACTCTCTGTCCAAGACTCTATCTATCTTTGCATACCAAATTCAGACAGAGGTACTACGTGCTATCACTTTCCTTCCCCGTCATTACAAACACTATGAATTCGTACAGCACCATTTGTGACGGGGAAAGAGAAATCGGCACCCAGTCGAGTCGTCGAGAACAGAACACTGAGTGGGTAATGAGGTATGTCTACTCCATTCCAACCTCCTTGGTTTTGATACTTCTTCATTTTGTAAGTCGTCTCTGCCAGCAGATAAGTTTAACTCTTCTTCAGATCAATTTTAACTCTTCTTCAGATCAAGCCACAGATAAAAAGTTTCCCCCCTAAACATCACTCTAAAACAATAATGTTATCAATTTTTCTCCATGGGACATTTTACAGTTACCATCAATACAGCAGTTTTGGTTTCTTGTCTCTAATTAAAGTTACAGTTTGAAGAGAAGAGGATAGATAATGTCATTCATTAAGGGGGCATTAAGGGTCCTTTACTATCTATATAACCATTCTGTACTCTGTATAGGACTTACTGCAGCAGTATAGTTCTAAACTCTCCTTAAACCGTATAGTTTGATCCTGGAAATGTTTGAAGATATAGGCCATGAGACATCAGACATAATATAATATCTATATCTATATGTATATCTATATGAAACAGACAGGACTGATTTCTATTCTGTAGTGGAGACCTAGTCTTTTGTCCTCTGGAATCACGACATCTGAGATGGGGAGGTGGTGGACGTCTGTTGTTGTGAACAGTAATCTGGTTTTGTGCCATTTACCATCTTCTTTCTGCAAAAAATAACCATACATGAGTAATTTGTTTGAAATTCATAAATTATTGAATTTTTAAATGCGCATAGCAGTACCCCACTGACTCACTCAATTCTAAGAGTACTCGGTTTGTTGTATATGGACACCCCACAGAAATGCCTACCTCATACAGTCTGTTAAGGAGGCTAATTAAGACTTTACCCTTTTTCTTTTTTATTACATGTACATGAATTACTTTCTTGAATTCATCTTATCTAGCTTAGAGACAAATCACGAGATCTTACCATACAATTATCCTCTAACACCTCAGGTTGGAATGGCCCACCGTAGTGGTAGACAGGACCACTCCATGTTTTAAACTTGACCCCAGGAATACTTCTGTGGGGCGTTCTCCAGACAGGGCTGTTTTTACAGTGGACTGTGACCACCTGCGCTGCCTCCGCACTCAGTAAGTGCAGGAAGTTCATCTGAACTTTTCCTATGGTGAAGTTAAACTGTGGAAAAAAGGGACAAAACTTTATGACATATTTTGCACTATACAATCTTTTAGTGTGCATAATTCTCACTCAACATCTAAAACATAAGTCGTTTATATCAAACATTTTAAGTACTGTCCTCCAAATCCCAGAGTAATATAGCATCAAATATAAAACACATAATACACATTTACGTCGAAAGAGTACCATATACTGTATCACACAATTCTTAAAGTTGTTAGATGTCATTTTCAGCACCAAGGACAGGGAAAGCCATTCATAGTTTATTCATTTATTCGTTCGGCTCAAGATACAGCCAAGGCTGCCCAACTCGCCCAGGGCCAAATTAAGGGCAAACCTTTATGCTTCTACAAGACAGGTGTTTACTAGGCCTCTGTCTGGATGATATGATACGGATCCCCAACCCGGACTTTGGACGATCGCACACCGGGGCATGCCACTTCTCTATACTCGAGCAAGTATTGTCAAAAAATATCAGATGAACAATAGATAATGAAGACATCAAAGATGTGACTTACTCTCCCTGGGGTGGCAGGTTTAACACAGGTTTGTCCACCTGAAGTAAAGTTGCAATACACCTCTATGGCATCTGTGGAACAGCCCAGATTTGGGTCGATCCAATATTTTCCTGTAGGGTGGAAAAATGGTATAACATCAACAAGCAGAAATGTCTAGATTTAAGTAATCTGCATTAATGATACTGTCAACTTCTTTTGCAGTGGTTTATTTATTATGTGGTAGGAGAGAAAAGGAAGTTTTCAGTGTTTTAAATTTGCCACTGAAACAATGTTGATGCATGGCAGTACTGGTAATAATACATTGGACAAGCATATTTGTGGTGTCATAAATCCACGATGTAGACCTCAATGCAAATAAGAAACCACAGTGCACATTTTAAAACTTTTTTGGTCATTGTAGTAGGTTTAAAAGAAAAGTACTCCATAAAACGTATACCACAGAAATACAGTATCAAATGCTTATGTTCTGACACCCCTATGTTCCCACAACCCTAACAGTATGTCGGAACATAAGGGTGTCATAACGTACAGTTTTGTAGGGCTGTTGCTGTATCAAATGAATCCTTCAAAGTGAGCCCTCTACCCACTAGGACTTTGCAGCAGTTTTACAAAAGAAGAGTGCTACACCCTGCAACATATACCACAGAAGATACTGTATCAAATGCTTACACCCCTATGTTCTGACACCACTATGTGTTCCCACAACCCTAACTGTATGTCAGAAGGTACATGTAGGGGTGTTGGAACATAGGACTGTCTCTGTATCAAATGGATCCTCTAAAGTGAGCCTTCTACTCTAGGCCTTTACTCCACCCTACAACATATACCACAGAAGATTCAGATCAGATAAATCCTCCAGACTGCTCCACTCACCATCATCTCTCTTGTACTTGCAGTCCACCAGGTCCCTGCATGTTCTGGCAGGGTTCTCTTTTGTGCCCAGAGGATTTTTAATACTTTCTATGTAAGAAGTGAGGTACTGGAGGGTTTCAAAAACATCCATATGCTGC